TTGGTTATAATAAAAAATTGTTGTTTTTTTTACACCCGTTTCAATATCATTGGCATTTTTGCCCCTGTATTTCCTTACCCTACAACAGGGAGATTTGATTAATTGTTTTAGGAGGTGGGCTGCTTCAGCCCCATCTGTGAGGGACAATTTTGTCTCAGTGGGATACAGCATCTCATCAGACATACACAGATAACAATGATAATATCAATGATAAAAATAATAATAACAACAATTATAATAAAAATAATTGCATTCATATAGTGCATATCCACACGCTACAGCACGCATAGTTGTTTGACAAATATTAATGCCCCCACAGAGCATAGAACACTCTGAAATATTCTCAGCTTCATGGGAAGCATACTGTGGCAAGCAGATGATTACTCGTGCCAAAACAATAACAGATACTTGATAAAATAAAATAAAATAAATAACATCCGCACTTGGTAATCGAACGTGTACATGTTTCTTCTGTCAGTAACTGAGAAAAGCTCAACTATTCCACCAGACGTTTGTCATATTATGTGTAAGCACATCTCAAAACATAGCGGAAATCAACAGTCACTCCACAAGCGTTTTGGTCCCATTCCGATGACATACCCGTTCCGCTTTACATCTCAGTATATTGCCCCATGCAGCTAGGCAAAAAAACACCAACACATAGTTGTTTTTATCTACCCCATTCTGGAGACATCATGTACACCTACACACATGCAAAGAAAAATACTCATGTACACAGTCAAACCTGTTTCGATGGTCATTTTGTACAAATGACCACTTCCCACTCCCATCTCCCCCCTCCCCTTCCCCCTGCATTTTTTTCTATTTCACAATGACAGGCTAAGATGTCCATCTGTGTAAGACAACCACTTTTCTCCTCCGAAAGAGGTGGCCCTCTTCTTGGACAATTTTGACTGCTCAGTCATACATTCTTTCTTGCCTTCAAATACAAATATTCTCACATACAAAATACACATAAATTTTCATAGAGATGTTCAGGAAAATCCAGCAATAACAAGACATCAAACTGGCTTTATAGAGTAAAACCGCACGAAAAGCCTGTCACTAGGAGAGTCTCGACAAACATACAAGGGCCACCAAGAATTTGTAAAATATCCAAACAAACATGACATGGATTCTTTTTTTAAAAATCCCACTGAATAAAAGCACAAAACGAAATGTCAGTTTGGCAGAGATTAAGAGGGAGGAGTGTTCTGTGACCTGGTTGTGAAAAAAAAAGTTCAGAACACACATTGTGACATCGTACTGAAAATGAAATCAAAGAATCCAGCATTTTTTCGGCGTAGGAAATTTTTACCAAATAATTTTTTTTAATTTGGAGGGGGGGGGGGGGGGGGGGCCTCAGCACATATTATTTATGTCCACTTTAAAACCCATTTCTGAGCAAATTTTATTGAAAGCCGTTGATCAAAGGCATAAAAAAATGTAAATTTGCAATTTCTAAGCACACTCAATATTTGGAAGTCACAAAAAAATTGGTTGCCATTTTCTCACTAATTTTGCCCCTAAAAGCCAGTGACCCTACACCCCCTTTAATCGTAAATATCTCGACTTCTATTCAAGACAGGAAGTTGGGTTTTTTCATCACAGGCAAGACAGATGAACATTTTTTTTTTCAACAATGATTCCATATGTCCAAAAATTGACGAGCATCAGATTCCATCGTGTCGTGACACGACTGTGCGTGAAGCAAAAGGACAAAATGAGGGAAATGTCACATTTTAACAATGAACAGTAATCTCCACCTAAACTAAACGCACGGTGCTCGGGAGGGCTCCTTAGCATGTGTTTATACGGAGCGTGCTGTGCGTATACATGAACCTTCGCAAAGGGAAGAAGGGACGAGGTCATCTCATTGTCTTGATATTCTAGTGACCTCCCTTTGAGGTGAGAGTCACTTTGGCCGATAGAGTGACATGTTACTGTTTTGTGAAGGATTTCTCGACTGCGGTTAAGAATACAAAGGCGTTGAATGGATGGGGGGAGGAGGCAGAAAGACAGTCAATGCAATGATATGCACCATAAAATGTCGGGAACAGATAGCCTAAGAGGAAACGGTTGGTGATAGTCATAGAGACGATGGCCCAGCCACGTGGCTTTCCAAGCGATCACCCCCGACCGTAAATTCATGAACAACATCAGAATAGATATTTATATTCAAACAAACATTTCTCTTGTGATTAGTTGAACAAGTACATTAAAAGTTCTTTCAGCGCAGCTGATTAGGCTTACTTGACTAATCTATAATCCTACAGAGGCGTGCCTATCTAATGTTTTACAGCATTCACGCATGTTGCGCATCATATGCCCAGATCTAACTACACAATACTAAACATTACAGGCAGTCACCCAAACACCAGTCAGAAACCTTCTCTCAAAGATGCATTCCAATGACCAATCAAAAAAATATTATAGTCCCCTAATCCCCCCAACACTTCACCGACCAGTCCTAGATTTAGACCTAGGCTATGTGTCTGTGGAAAGTTGGGTGTGAAAACGCTGTCCATCACTCACCTCGTTCGGCATGAGGGGCAGTCTCACCAAATATCCGGTTTTCTAGGCTTGTCTTATGCAAGCTGTGCAGGTTGTAGTACAAATTTCCCCTTGTCAAGCTTTACCTGTCGGCGTGTTCCTTTAGAGGGAGTGACCATGCGTTTGCGCGTCTAAATTTTATCATAAAACTCCCGCCCGAAGACAAAAGTGTGTGTCTGAGCGGAGCCTGCTTTAGTGTGGTGTGTGTTTACGCAGAGACTACTGAAACACTCTTCACAAAAAGTTCTGTCCAAACCTTACATATGCATAAAAAACAGTATTACTTTAGTTTCTTTGGTCCTGAAGTTATAGTCACTAAATGTAAAGAAACCAGAAACACACAAGTTATAGATGTATGCGAAAATTAAGATTTTCGCCCCATATCCTGAAACCCCCGAAACTCATTTTGTCATAAACGCAACACATTTTCGGAATTCTGGAAACTTTTGAAAGAAAACAACCCACCCCCCCCCCAAAAAAAAAGAACCATCACAAGGGTTGAGAGACAGGAAGGATACTAGTGGCAATACCAACTAAAACAAGTCATGGTACTTAATTTGTTTGTCTCTTCTCATAAGTATTCCACAAATACAATTCTTGTCCGAAGAATAATCATCTTCAAGCTTAACAACTCTTAGTTGAGAAGGAATATTGTTTTAAAGAAAAAAAGTAGCGGCTGCATTCTGAGTCGCATATTTATACCTAAAATGTATCCGTTCAGTTATACTTTGGTTTGCAATGAGTTCCACAAATATTATATAAGAGTGCAGTGCAAGCTATGTACAGCACAAACAAAGGAATATAACCGCAAACATACTTCAAGGGACACATCTTACACGGTGGAAATGTACAAGTCTCAGGTCTCGAGGCCAAAAAATAAAATGTATGAACAAAACAAAAACAAACAAAAATCACAAAGAAGGCAACAGTTTCACTAAAAACGATTAGGACCAAACATGAAATATTTCCGACTCCTTGGTTCACAGTACTAGCACCTTTGGTTTACACTTCCCAATACACCGTCATCTTTACGCAGTTTTCATCAGCCACAAGACAGGGAGAAAAAAAACGATTAGAACAAATTAAACGCTCGGTGTAAGACTCCGTCATACGTCACTTTTCAAAATGGCATATGGCAGAATCTATAGCTAAGCAGTCGAAACGAAAAAGCAATGAGCATAACAATAACAAGACCTCAAGAGTTTCAATGATATTGGATTGCAACAACAACAAAAATATATTTTAAAAGTCAACATCACATTCACAGAAAATCAAAGAAAAGGATTGAAATTATGTTTATCTCATTCTCTTCTTCGAGGAAGAAACAAGAAAATAAGATGAATGAGCATTTTGTGACCTGAATGGAGGCTACTTCCCTTTCCTCCTCCCCTGTCACCTCCAACAGTGTAATAAAGCACACAGTACTTCTCCTTCCCATTCCATTTATTAAGCACATATTCATGCTTTACAGCATGTTGTATGCGCTCTACTAATATTACTAGCCAGCAAACCCTAGAACATTCTTCTGTATCAATCAAAGGAAGATTGGTAATATAAAGAAACAGCGCACATTACAAATTCCCTCAGTTTGTTTTTGTCTTGGCAGCTTCTCATTCTCCCTTTTTCATTGCTCCGAAATAAAGAGCAAGCCCCCACCAGTCTACTTATCGACACAACGATAGAGAGAAAAGCATTCCCTAGTGATTCAAAGAATTGAAAATTCTCTTTTTTTTTTTTAAAGAAACAAATTGCAAGAAAACTATTTTCAACTGCATAAACAAGTTCTACACGAGTCCCTTGACGAGTGTGTAAAAGTAAAAGGTTATGTATGCATCTCCAGCCAAGGCCAGAACAATGTAAAATGTTACGCCTGTTGACGAGTTACGATCTGTGAATATAGGTCTCACCTAAAATTGACATCGGGTCAAATCTGTAGAATTCGAATCGGTGCCATTTTCTCCAGGTTTAACATATATATGTGAGGCAGCATAGTGGAATCAGGCTCTCGTCAAAATAATCAAAGTGAAGAAACCTGCATTTTTCCGCATGTTTGTGAATTTTTATCAAATTTTTGTTTTTAGGCTCAACACCTTTCATGCCCATTAAAAAACTCATTTCTGAGGGGATTTTCCTGAAAAACGTTAATTTAAGGCACAAAAAATGGAAATTTTCAGTTACCACGAACTCTTAAGCTATAGTAATAACTAATCTTTGGCGGCCATTTCCTGACTAACTTTTCCTCTGGAAACAGGTGACCCCCACCTCCATCATTAGCAAATATCTCGACTTGTATTCAAGATAAATTGATATTGTTTTCATCCTAATAAAGACAAGTGAACAAGCTTTAAGATGATAACAATAACTCTACATGCCCAAAAATTGACGAGAGCCTGATTCCACCACGCTGCGACACATATATCTTTCTTCATTTCATACCCATAAATTTATCAAAATTTTACCTATAAAATTTAAGTTCTTTAGGCCAAAATCTGAGAAGAAGGCTAACTTAAATTCCAACAGCATGCTTAACAAATTGAGATGATCAGGAAACAGAAAGATGGTAGAGAGATCTTCAAATGAAAAGTGTTCAAACCAGCTCTGGTCTTTTTATCCTTTCGTTTCGTTCTATTTCTGACAAGAAAGCCTACCGTCTTCAATTGAGAAAAACGTTTTACGTTTTCAGTTCACCTGATTAAACAAAGTGACTATCTTGTCAAAACAGTGAGCAAACAATCTGCCCTATACAGTAAACATAGCTTTTCTTTGTGTGCGACTTAACAAATTGCAATTTTTGTTTTTAGTAGAGGTTATACGGTGCTCGCAGCAAAATCCCAATTTTTACAATTTCTAACCCCTTACCTACTGAACAAAAGTTCCTCTCGTGTGCTAGAAAAAATTCCTCACAGGTTGTGTCAGACACAGTTCATGTCTTTGACGGGCCATAACACTTGCTACGATCCCTAGATATATATAGAAAAGTATATATTATCATTTCAAAGAGAAATGAACATACAATACCATGATAAGAAATATTTTGGAGCTAAATCTATTCTGCTAAGTAATTTGACTGGCAAAAGTGAGAAAGATTTTTTCTTTGTATGATCTGAATGGACTTCAGTGCCCCTACCTACATCCATACCAAGGATATATTCTCCAAGTGGCTTGAAGTGGCAGTCACATATTCTACATCCATGGAAACAATACCACAGCAGTTACAAAACAGACACTACAAGTTACAACACATAAGTCCATTTTCCACCAAAAAAAACCCACATGCTCCTCTGGCTTTGTCTTTCACTTGCAAAACACTACACACCTCTCTTTGTTCTAGACATTATCTAAAAATAGACCCAATCTCAATAGGCAAGAGAACAATGAAGACAGATATCACTCTCTTCATTCAAAATCGTGTAGAAATGAAGATATGACCCAAACATAAAACAGACTTTCAAAGACCTACCAAAAACACCCACAGCACACATTGCAGAAAATTATTAGGGCTTACCAGGAACGCCCACAGCACAAGGAAGGGCTTCAAGAATTCAAGTTGTTTGCAAAATGTTTAAAGGGTGCAACTGCAATGGAACACTTGACACTGGGCGACTCGGATTGCAAATTCAAAATGTTTTCAGCGACTAAAGTGGGCAAAACACAACGTCCCAAATCCCCTCACTCCCTTTCCCCCTAAAAAAAAAACAACAAAAGAAAAACTAATCAAAAGCACACGAAAAAAATCCCAGTGTACTGTATTTGTTAAAACCAACTTGTCAGACATCCCAAAAGTTATGTTGGAAAAATTTTAACTAACAAAAAAAAAATTAATGTAAACTCTGTCAGCTTCTATTATTTCTGTAATGTAAAAACGTTAGACAAAAAAAACATAACAAAAAAAAACAACTGAACAAGACACTTATTTTGTCAAATTGCGAAATCTGTGTGTTGCACACGGCTATCCTGACTGCTCTTGTACACAGGTCTGGATCCCTCAGTGTAGCACACTACTCATGTCCCACAGCTGGAAAGAAAAACAAAACAACAACAAAAAATAAATGATAGAATCAACCAGTATAACTACAGTACAGGAGTTACTGCTGTTACTACAATCTAATCATTTTCTTCACATTGGTAAAGACAAGACTACAGCTTATATTATAAAAGTTATCAATCTCATCTCAATAGAAGGCCGTCAGGGAATTAAATCACCGTTGCCTGCAATGAAGAGAGTAACAAGCACAAAAATAAGGAGAGATAAAAATTATAGTTACGTTATTTGATAGGAAAGAAGGAGCAAACCACACTAGAGCACGTGCCAACCACCAACATACGTTTCTTACGTACTGGTTGACAGCTGTGCAACATGTTTACTCTAAATCTCTCACCTTCATCACTCTGTCTTTTCCCGTGGTGAGTAAAATCTTCCTTGCCTCGTCCAGGTTCATATGCACCACGCTATGCTTCAGGTCATGAAAGGTGGCATGGGGGGCTTTGCTGTAGGCAGAAACCAAAAAAAAAATTTTTAATTACAAAAAAAACCCAATGATAAAGTTTGGCTGTGCTGGCAGTACAAAAGCAAACAAAATTTGTTGAGATAAAATCCGGCTTTGCTTGCAACAAACAAAATCCCAAAAGGACAAGTTTGGTGTTTTCATATATAAACAAATTAACACTTTTTGTTCCTCTGTCTCATAGAGAGAATAAAAATAAAAACAGGGCAGCTAACTTTTCAACACCAAAGAACAGACTCCACCCATGAGGTGGATCAAGATGGTGGTCGTTGGTCAAATAACTCGCCCCCAAACCCTTCACACATACATTTTTCAGCATTCAATAAATTCAAGCTATTCAAAGAAGAGGTGCAGCACAAATATATGAAAAATGGTAACGAACATGACTTCCATTGACTTAGATAAGAAATGTTGCTAGAAAACAACATTCAGAGAAAAAAAAAGAAGAGGAGCAAGAGGGACAATAAGTGTTTGACAGGAAAGAAGGAGCAAACGACAAAAGGGCAACCGTCAACCACACAAGCGCAAGAGGATAAGAATGAAACTGAGAAATGAGATTTTGAGGCAGACTTGTAACATGTGGCCATAAATTCTTTGACAGTTATTCAAGAGACCCAATATTTAATTTATTTTTTCTTTCTTGTGTGTGATTATGTGGTTGTCAGTGCTCTGGTGTGATTTGCTCCTTCTATCCCATCAAACATCTATCATCCTTCTCTCCTCCTCCTTTTTCGTATGTTACTTTCTTGTAACACTACTCATCTTCAATACTTTATATGACCTAATTGCATTGCAAGTGTCGTAATACTCTAACTAAAACAAATCTTTCTTTTGTACTGGCTTTTTCTCAGTGACAGCAACTTACTCTTCAGGGGTGATTTGCTCGAAACATTCCTCGCAGACCCGAACTTCATACTCATAGCCCATCAGCGGGATAGTGGACAACTTGCTGCAGCATGCGTGGCACAATGCTTTGCCACAGCGACGGCAGTGGTGCTGTTGATAATGATAATAATAATATAATAATAATGATTAATATCATTATCATCATCATCAGAATAACTATATTAAAAATCATCACAATAATAATCATCATCATCTACATCATTAATAATATTAATAATAATAGTGGTAATAATCATAATGATAACAGTTTGTCCATCATGACCTGATGATGACCTTTAACATCCAAGCAGGAGAGGAAAAAGAGGAAAAGACTCAGTCAAAACTGTCAAAGATTGTAAGGAAGGGCTTTCGTGGTCTAGAGGCACAGTGTCCGCCTTTCATTCCATAGATCCCGGGCTTTCTAATCATATTCTGTAATCTGCTTTCATCTCCACTATCTTCTCCCTCACCCCCTCCCCCTTTGCTCCCTCCTCTGGGCTCACGACTCTTTCTGCTGCCTTTCAGCTACACCCCTGATCATAGGGTAGGTACAGTCTAACACCTAACCTTCTCAGATATGAGCCCAAAAATCTTGGAGGTCCCCTGTGCAAGTTACGCACATTAAAGATCTCTCTGTCATCCTAAAATGGATGAGTAGGCTTTGGCTGCCACCCGCGAAAAATCAAAATTAATCCCATTTTATACCTGTCTCTTCTATGTTCCCTGTTTCTCATCTGCCTCTTGTGCGTTCCCTAATTCTCACCTAACTTTACTAGACAAAGAGTCAAAACCTGACCAGACTCTATTTCTCACCTGTCTCATCCCAACTTTCTTGTCCGACCACATCTTGCGAAAGTTCCAGAAGAAGGGACTGTCACATTTTTGGCACACATCACTCTCAATCCACTCTGGCGTCTGTAAAAAAATAATATGTAATTGTACAGATTTTAGGAACCCACTGACACAATTCAGAACATTTTAGGAGGCAGGCAGCATAACACTTTGCCCCCACGGGACGCAGAACGGCGCCGGTATGATATAGCGTGCACCGCACCTGTATCCTTGTCCGTGAGGATAAGTGTTTGAATGGAAAGTGTTAAACCTTGTTTATCATGGCCAACCCATGCTGAAAAGGGTACAATATCCCAGCAGACAGACGGAGATACAATCTAACCTGTCCAAGACTACCATCCATTATCAAGGAGAAAAGTGCTCATATTGGACAAACGATCCTCTTGAACAGTGTCAATAATTATAATGTACAGTGGCATCCAAAAGAAATTTGTAAGATGAATTCACCCTGTCCTTGTAATAAAGCCTTATATACTACCCACTCATGCAGCATACTAATTTAAAGCTAAATTAAAATAAATTCTGCATCATCTAACACATTAATATGTCACTGATGTCAAGAATCACCCAATATATTATGGTCACTCAAAACTAACCTTTGAAAATCAGTTTTGGCAAAACTGTGCGAAATCAAAGAAACTCAAAAGTGTGTTCGTACGTGTAATGTACCAACATTGGACGAGGAATGGATTTGTATTGCATATCAAATGAATGGAGAATTTTGTCTTGGCAATAAGCAAATTTCATTTGTATTTATATTAAAGCCAACCTACCTCCAAGCGGATTCTCCAACCCAATTTAAACATTTAAAGAATAGGAAAATGTCATTTGAAAGTAATACTCTAAAAAAAAAAGTTTACCAAAGACTATTTTACACTAATTATAAGAAACCAAAGCATGTTTTTCTAGTTCTTGTAAAGCGGGTTAGTATCTTACTGCAAATCAGCACATTAAGCACTGTATGACTCACACAAAATCAGTGATGCATAAAAAGAAGTAAAAAGAGTTTAAAGCAATTGCAATAAAATTTGGTCATACATGTGCCACAGACCACATTACAGTTCCCAACAGCCACCTCTCCAACCAGAAAGGCACAGCAGGATACTACAAAAATCGCGATAAAAGAAAACAAAAAAGAAAGAAAGAAAGAAAAACCTGAGAAGAAATAACCAAGACAAGATGCCCCGTACCTCCACTCGCTTGACCTGCATGTCCCAGATGCCCAAAACACAGTCGTCGGCACCTGACAGTAACTGGTGGGAATTCTTCGCATTGGACAAACCTTGGATCTTCTCTCTGGGGATACAGTTTGGGCAATGTGTAACATTTGAAGATGCGAGCCGTCATACTACGGCAATACTTGAGGATGTGTGCCATCTGTGTTATATGTGACTTTTGAAATGTGTGTCGTCTGTGTTATAAATGTGAGGCAGCGTGGTGAAATCAGGCGCTTGTCAAAATAATTGAAGTGAAGAAACTGGTATTTTACTGCAGGTTTGTGACTATTTTGGCTAAACAACTTTCATGCCCTTTAAAGAACACATTTCTGTGTGGATTTTACAGAAAAGTGTTGATTAAAGGCACAAAAAATGTAAATTTTCAGTTTTCACAGTTTTTACGGTCTCTCAAGCTAAGGAAATAAATCATCTTTGGCGGCCATTTTCTCACTAATTTCACCTCTGAAACCAGGTGACCCCCACCTCCTTCATTCGCAAATATCTTGATTTCTATTCAAGATAGATGGACATTTTAAAAAATCCAAAGCAAGACAAATGAACAAGCTTTAAGATGACACAAGTAACTCCACATGCCCAAAAATTGACGTGAGCCTGATTCCACCGCATACATGTAACTTTTGAAGACGTTTGTTGTCCTATTACAGTAATAACTATATTAAACATAACACTTGAAGATGTGTGTTGTCACATTACAGTAATACTTGAAGATGTATGATGTTGGTATTATAAGTGCCGCAGGGCGGTGGAATCGGGCACAAGTCAATGTTTGGGCATATGGAATTGTTACTATCAAGCTAAAGTTCAATAATTTTTCTTCAGCTTGGTAAAAAAAAAATTGATCTATCTTACATAGAAGTCGAAATATGACCGATTTAAGAATATGGGGGTTACCTGATGTTAAACATGAAATTAGCAAGGAAATCGCCTCCAAAGTTTGGAGACTTTTAAAGCCAAATACTAGTTCAACAAATTAACATAGTTTTGGCTTGAAACTTTTTTTTTCGGTAAAAATCCCCCACAAAATGTGTTCTTTAATAAACAGAGATTTTTAAGCAAAAGAAAAAGAAAAAAAAAAAAAGAATTTCGGTAAAAGTCCCCAAACCATCCGTAAAAAAACCCAACTGATTTCTCTGTTCCCTAAAATTTCAAGCATGCCCAATTCCATCGCAAAGATCCAAATAAATGTAACAATTGGAGATGTGTGTTGCCCATGTTACAGTACAAATTGGAAAATGTGTGTTGTCCTATTACTGAGAAGACAATTTGACCTTCAGCATTGTTTGAAGATGTGCCTTGCCCTACTTGCGAGATAAGTGAAATGACAACCAGCATTCAGCTTCCAAATATGGAGAGAAAAAACAAAACAGACAGAAGACTTTATGGCCCAAGAGTGCTTTTTTGGGGGCGAGAGATTGTTTAAACAGAGTCAGTATGATATAAAATCTAAAAGTTAAAGTCCTTTTCAACTGTAAACAGCTATACCTACCATAAATAGGTAATATGCTAGCAACATAACAAAATGGGTGGGTTGTCGTGCTCATCTGTTTCTAACTAACTGTACGAGTATTTCTCATTCTGGCAAAATCTCAATTTTCTCATTATAACTGCCTCACTGGCTCGCCAATCTCAAATAAAACTTTAGAATTAAACCAGCGAGACATACTGGGTTTTTTAAAACAAGATCGTGTATTCAGAACTCTGGAAGTGTCATCTCTTGCTGAGACGTGCAATGGCCCACCAGTGCTCATGGTCACTAGCTACCGCAATACATTCTGTCATCCTAAGGCCCATGCATATCTTTTTCTACCCCCATACACCATGTATAAAGAGCTTGAATAAATGTTCAATTTGATACCCATTAGGGTTAACCTTTCAGAATACAACATGTGACTCATTCTGCTATGTTGCTTCACAAATACTAACATCTCTTCGTGACAACTCCTTTGGTCAGCCTCTAATATACTTCCGTTTTAGTAGGAGTTTTACAGCACTTGCAACAGCTACGTCATAATAAGTGCCAAAGATTAGAGATTTTATACACAAACACGCAAAACACACACATACACACACACACAGGCCTATACAACAGAAATACATATTATACTCACTTATGTCCCTGCAGTTCAAACGCTGTTCCTTTCCGCCCCCCAATGTCCCACACAATGACGGACTGGTCAAAACTTCCACTGAACAGAAGCTGGTTCTCCGCATCCCACGAGAGACAGCGTATACTTCCTGAAACATACAAAACAACAACAAATACTTAGCTGACAGGGGGGGCTGTTTTATATCGCTATCCATACAATTTGATCATCAATCAAAAAATGAATTTCCAACAAAATAGCGAAGAAAAAGAAGAAAGCAGCAGCAGAAGAAGAAGAAGAATAAAACCAAACAACAATTAAATGTACTTAGCTAACAGGGGAACTTGTTGTTTTTTTCAACCAGAAACAGACAATACACAATAGCTGTAACGTATATGTGGTCGGTCCCTGTCAATGCTGTCTGGTTATTTAATGGGGGATGTTTTAGGCTCAGAGTGAGTTTTATTGCCGCCCTTGCAACACAATTCAATAAAAGTATATATATATATATAAGTGCTGAAGATTAGAGGTTGTACTAGACAGTAACATACAAATAAATGATGGGGGAAAGATAAGGATTATAGATTTCGATAGGTAAGAAGGAGCCAACAAAACGAGAGCACCTGCCAACTACCCATTC